CAAGTAACATCTCTTATTATTATCAAAACAGTCATGCTGCTTAATATTGTGGAAAACTGCGATACATTAAAGATTCTTTGATGAACAGAAAGTTCAAAAGAACAGTATTTATTTGAAATAGAAATAGTTTGTAAAATTAGAAATGTCTTTACTGTTACTTCTGATCAATTTCATGCATCCTTGCCGAATAAAAGTTATTTAAAAAAATCTTTACTGTACTTATTGTACCTCAGATTCGGAATCACTGTCTTTCTTTTCATCCTCATCTTTTCCCAGGAAGAACTTCAATCCAGCTACAAGGATCTGAGAGGAGATGAGATTTAAAACATGCTAGAAGAGGTCATAGCGAACAAAGTTACAATATAGTGTATGATAAGTAAATAACTTGTCCTTAAAAGGATAGTTCACCCAAAAATGAAAATGTGATGTTTATCTGCTTACCCCCAGGGCATCCAAGATGTAGGTGACTTTGTTTCTTCAGTAGAACGCATATGATGATTTTGAACTCCATTTTGCAAATTTTGAACACAGAAAAAGTTACATAGTGCTGCTTGAACTAATGTTTTAATGCTGGAGAAGATTCATACAAAGCCAAAAAATTAACCTTTGTGACTTTGGAGAAACAAGCTGTGATGACGACGTTCACGGTTTTGGTGTCATTCCTGATAGGTTGATGTGGGAATGGAAAACAGAGTGATTGCGGATCATACCTAATGGCATCATATTATGTTACAAAGACATATCTGTTCAAGGACTCACCAGATGTTTCTTCTGTAAAGCTCAACCATCACATCTAGAGAGATCTTGGCAGCAGTGGGGTTTGAATCCCTCAGCATGGTGTACATGAAGTTCTGCAAGGTCTGAGCATTTATGTCAAAACTATGGGTATGAATCTCATGCAAACTATCAACATGTCAATGAACAATTCAGTGATTAAAGGGTAAATTACGAAATGCTGCAGTCCTATTATGTGACTTGATGGAAAATGAATATTATGCCCAAGTGACTTACCGTGTTCAGTTTGTTGTTTTTGTGCTTGGCATTGATATTTTTAATATCGGTCACAATATGGGTATATAAAGTCTGAGGAGACATAGGGCATTTATTTATTTTTTTTTAGCAGTAAGCTTTGCAATATTTTAAATTCATATTCTTAAAACTGCACTGCAAAATTAACAGACCTTCCGCAGAAGTTTGTCATGACAGCGCAGCAGCTCAAAGAACAGCCCCAGAAGACTGGTGGGACTGATCAGATCTTTGTTCCTCAAGAGGATGAGAGCTTTACAAAACGTCTGAAAGAAAGGTTTTCTTTAGAAAACAGATCTTTAAACATTAAGAACATCTTCTACCCTAAAAGACAGACTATCTTGAAATGTATAGCTAGCAAACTCTACTGAATGTCATTTAAGATAAAAAAAAAAATAAAATAAAAAAAAAGTCAGCTAAACAAATGTTATTCACACCATTCTTAGATCTGGCTCCAGCACCGTATGATGGTTTAAGAGCAGATCAGTCAGTTGCTGTGGGAAATCTGACAGCTCCTCTAAGTAACAGTGTCCAACCTGAAGACAAAACCACAATCAGCCAATAACACAACAACAGTCGAAACACGCTGAAATAAATGAACATGGAAACTCTAAGAGAAAACACCTCCATACCTGAGCCAGAAACATGACCAGCTCTGCCAGGTCTTTGTTGGATTTGTCAGGCTGATGTTTAAAGATCTCCACATTTGACTGATAGTGACGATACTGTTGCAAAAACTGGAATAACATCAAATTAAGATCATTTAGATTATATGGACCAAGAGTTAAGACATTTATTCAGTAGAATTAACAAGTATCTATTTTTAGTTACTAGTAATCAGTGTTGGGGAAAGTTACTTTTAAAAGTAATGCATTACAATATTGCGCTACTCCATAAAAAAGTAACTAATTACGTTACTTAGTTACTTTTTATGGAAAGTAATGCGTTACGTTACTTTTGCGCTACTTTTTAAATCTGGACAGGGCTTGCTTGTTTGTTTTTAAAATAAAAAAGTTCTATTTTTGGCAAATATAAAAGCCCTTTCACACCAAAAGTGAAATGAATAAGCCTCAGGCTGAAGGGAAAGTAAATTTACGTCCGTACAGTAGAATGCAGAAGAAGACATTTCAACACACTTCAGCAATAAAAAAGACACAAATGTTCGTCTAGAGTAATTTTTGCTTATTAGTATGGTTGAACTGGATCATCGAAGGTCAGAAGCAAAGACATTGGTTAATAGAATGGGATTAAATACATAAAGCATATTTGTGTTGTTTAACATTTAATTATTGCAGGTTTGCGTCATATTCTGAGTTGCATTATTTTTATTCATTTTGAGGAATACTGAATCTGTGTTTTTTTTGTGTGTTGAGTGAGATTAATTAATGTATATTCATATCTATTTTAGAACTACGGTAACAGCTTCTGATTTCTCTCAACATGGGGACAGGAGAGCTAACAATCAATAAATTGGAAAAAAAAGTAACTTGCGTTACTTATCTGAAAAGGTAAATCAGATATTCTCTTGTAAATTAAAAAGTAATACTAGTTACTTGAAAAAAGTAATCTCATTACGTAACTCGCGTTACTTGTAATGCATTACCCCCAACACTGGT